ACACGTCCGCGTTGCTCCGGAGCAAACGAAAGGAGCAAACAGAAACGGAAGGACGAGAAAAAAGAAGGCCGATGATTTAAGGCGATGATCCGAGGAGCGCGATAAAGGATCGGTATCGATTCGTTTCGAGCGAGGGACCCGCAGCGATACGTGACGAGGGAAAAATCGAACGCGATCCTGGATCCCGGCCGGGAGATCTATGGTAAATCGGCGGTCGGATTTCACGCGGATCCCTTTGATTCATCGTAACCACCGTTAAACCCGGATATTGTTTTCCTAATAAATACGCGCGCCGGGCCGGCCGGCAATTATTTTCGCGAACGGTAGCGGCCCGTGATTAAACATCCCGGCTGCTGGAACAGCGAATATTCAGCTTTAATTCCACTTAATCCCGGGCCACGATTGTAATTAGCATAACGGGAGTCCGGGCACAATGGCGCGCGAAGAAGTTATTAAACATTCCGCGCGGACGGTTACGTGTTCGCTAGGTTGACAATTAGTTACTTTTCTCTCGCTCCCCGTCGCTCTCCCTCTCCGTCTTTGTGCTCGACGGCTAATTAGCCCCGGCTTCACGTGATTTATCGATCGAAGATCGTATAATTACCGCGGGATATAGACGCGAACTTATCGGCGAGAGCCGTAAACCCGGCGATCGTAAAGTCGGATATCGTCGCGGCCCGCGGGTTTCCTAGAAATTTGTCAAGATCTCCATCGGGGATCGGCGAAAAACAAAAAAAAGAAAAGGAAAAAAATGAAACGGAGATGGGATCGTTCGCCGCGAATATCTCGCCGCAGTAGAACGATCTGTTTGAAGTCTGTTATTGGGCGGGCTCGCCTGTTGGCGATCGCTTCTTTCAACATTGTTGTAGTATTACTGTTATGTTACATTATATACTATATTACATCATGTTGTCGGTACTCTGTGTTTTTACTTATCTTCTTTTCATAACTTATTCAAGTTATTGTTTAGTATGCTTTTTCTTTGCGCATAGATCTCTATACACCTACGGGAAAAAGTTGAGAAACTTTCGGTATCGTTAACATTTGAGTAAAATTTGACATTTTAACGAATACACGTCTTATTGAATTAGAAGCATATATGTATTACGGTGAAGCTTATGACACGTTGTTTATATTACGATACTGTTTTATTTAGTTCTTGCGACAAACAAAACAATACTAAAAAAATTAAAAATACAGGAATAAAATAAGAATAAGAAATTAAAAAGTTATGGAAGAATACAATTAATATTTTCGTTGACACGCATGAATGTTTCATAGAAGTTTCGATTAAAATGGTAAAGCAATTATACCTATTATACAAAAAATTGTCATTTCTCTATGACAAGTATACACCCATGATTTTTTATTTTTCCCAAAACTGTACTTTGATCATTTGAAATCGAAGAGTAGTGTATTGAATGTTACAATTTTATACGCAATTTTCAGTTCGGATTAAAATTCAACGTCACTGAATTGAAAACAGTGTTGCTAATTTAACTAGCTAGTGGCAGATCGATCTTCCATTAAAACCCTGCGAATGTTATAATATGTGTGTTAATTCGAATGTTATATATTAGCAGAATTTGATTGACAAAACTAAAGGATTTAGAAATATTCGTGTCGCTCTGGTAGAATCAGGAATCCGTTGATCATCAACGAACCGAACCTGTAATTCTGAACCGTTTTAACTCGCAAGAAACATGGCATCAAGTTATGACAGCCACTTTTGGACGATGTAACGCCTATTCCAGCAATTTTTGTCCCGTTTCTCTCTAATGTGTGTATTAACGTTGCGCCGACTGTACGTGCGTGGTCATTAGCGCAAATGACTTACTTAGAGCAAGTCGTACAACTTGCGATAAATATTTGTAATAAGCGTGGATGGTCATTAAAATTTTCGTTTACACTTACGTCTTACCAAAGGAATTTTCCTCGATTACGATAGATCGTGATTTATATATGCAAATCGCTTTGTTAATTAGCACTTATTCTTTCAAGTACAGTAAATTCTCCCCAATTGTCCCTCAGCTTGTTAACAGAAATGGACAATTTGGGAAGAAAAGGTACGATTATTCTAGTATCGCGGCTCTTTGTTTTATAATTGTTGACAATCGGCAACTATAAAAACAAGCCAACAATCGTATCTCCTCTTTACAAATTGTCCATTTTTAGGGAGAATTTACTGTACATAGATTGACATTTATCTCTGATTTTCGCAATAATTTTACAATACATTTACCAATTCTTTGCAATATACTTATTATCTACTTTTGCAATAATCTTTCTAGCTTGTGCCAAATGTTTTCTCGTAATTGCCCGGTGCAGAGCTGACGCGTACTTTCTGGACCACCGTGTATGCATCTGCGGATGATTTTTGTTCGATTTTGCGAGGAGTCACCCGACTTATACATATTCTAATGGAGGTAGATCGTGATGCCGTAAAGGCGGAGCAGCGATTATCTCAAAACGGAACTGTGAGTAAATAACCTAGTTGCAACTTGGCCGTGGAAATCAACCTTGTTTCTCTTATCGCGATATAACGCTCCGAGGATGAGCAGCGTGTTATAACTCAACCGTCAAAGAGACGATATCCGATGCTCCATCCTGTCGGAACAAAAGCGGAAGCCACTCGCAGCAATTTGACTCGGTATTGCGTTTGTATTCTTTTTTCTTTGCCACATTGCAATTGGTTATCTCGACGGCGTGAAAGTGCATGAAATTTCTATGACAACCGCAATTGATATATGCTTCCTCGAATCCTAACGGCGGCACTCGTAAATTATTCAACGAGGACGCGCAATTTTTACACGAAATATAAATATACACATAATATAAATAACATAATAATATAATATAATATAATAAGATAATATAATATAAAAATAATATAAATAATATAATAATATAATATAATATAATATAAAAATAATATAAATAATATAATAAGATAATATAATAATTTAATATAGATATAAATATATAATAAATAGAAATATAAACACCGAAATATTAAAAAATGTAAATAAATCATGGATTTAAATTTTAAAAGATACATATTGTAGCTTAATTCAAATATTTTCACGAGTGTATATTATGTATAATAATCCTGTGGATATTATGCCTACAAATGAGTTTTGCATATCGATAATAAATCATTTATAAACGTATATAACAAAGACCATACGTGTGGTTAATCCGCTAGTTCGAGACCATAAAGGGGACCTTCTCGTTTTTCAAAAAAAAGTCCAGCGTCGTAAATTTCAGTATTTGTCATCGCAGAAAATTTCTGCCCAGCTGTGCCTTTTCAACAACAATCGAAAACAGGACTGGACTGGTCCTCTGTTCGATATAGCTTCGGGGACTACCGGCGACCCAAATCGCGACACGAATCTTCCCATGAAAATCGCTTCAATCGGATCGTAGATCTGGTTTCACACGGTCCACCGGGCTTCTTTCCGCACTTTCTGATTAAGATCACGTTATCGAAATCAACGATGAGTTATTCATAAGTCCCCTGAAATCCAGACCACATGGTTTCTCGGAGTTAATGTACCGAGCCCAGCCGGTCATTCGTTTCTCGCGGCGTCTACGTGTCCGTAACTCACCCCGTTTTTCCGGAAAACGAGCCGCCCCATTAACTACGAACGACACAGCTTCTTCTGCTTGAATAAATCTAATCGTCACCGTCTAATTGTTGCTCATCTCGTGAATCTGTCCGACGCCGTATCTGGGTTATAATTCAATTTCGAAAGTTCTCGACATCTGACGAGCGGTTTTTTTGTCGTCTCTCTCTCTTTCTCTCTCTCTCTCTCTCTCTCTCTCTCTCTCCCTCCCCTCTCCGCCGCCGAAGCCGTGTTCTCTTTCTGTCCCGACGGTAATTGTCATCGTTCACGGAGTTTCGTGGAAGTTACGTGGACACCGACGAAAAAAGCCGGCCTGTTATAGCTTCGGGAACTGCGACAAACAGTTTTTGACGCGCACGGCTGCTCTCTGAACCGCGTCGTAATCGTTCTTTGGCACATACCTGCCAGTCTGTACGGCGAGCACCGTGTCTAGCACTCCCGAGCACCGTCGTGGAACGAGCACTTTGTTAACAATAGATATACAGTTACTCGCATTAATATTCGAACGTATGCTACCATTTCTGTATCCGTTGCTCTGTGCAAGACGAGATGATTTAGGTGTCCTGACGTTTATTGCACAACAACCATTCGTTACAGATTAACGATAGAATAGCCGAGCATTAAAACTGATCGGCGGATCTTTATGTAAAATACAAATTACACGTGTTAATTGCAAGGAACATTTTGAGAAATGTTTTTCNTCTCTCTCTCTCTCTCTCTCTCTCTCTCTCCCTCCCCTCTCCGCCGCCGAAGCCGTGTTCTCTTTCTGTCCCGACGGTAATTGTCATCGTTCACGGAGTTTCGTGGAAGTTACGTGGACACCGACGAAAAAAGCCGGCCTGTTATAGCTTCGGGAACTGCGACAAACAGTTTTTGACGCGCACGGCTGCTCTCTGAACCGCGTCGTAATCGTTCTTTGGCACATACCTGCCAGTCTGTACGGCGAGCACCGTGTCTAGCACTCCCGAGCACCGTCGTGGAACGAGCACTTTGTTAACAATAGATATACAGTTACTCGCATTAATATTCGAACGTATGCTACCATTTCTGTATCCGTTGCTCTGTGCAAGACGAGATGATTTAGGTGTCCTGACGTTTATTGCACAACAACCATTCGTTACAGATTAACGATAGAATAGCCGAGCATTAAAACTGATCGGCGGATCTTTATGTAAAATACAAATTACACGTGTTAATTGCAAGGAACATTTTGAGAAATGTTTTTCCTCCAACACGTTTTAAATGCTGAAAATCAAATCGAAAAGTTCCTACAACATTGAGATAATTTAATTAATGGAACTGAAATTAGATAGTTAAAATTTGTCATAGTGGGCGGTACTTAGTTTTGGAAACTGGTCAAAAACTGGTGTCATTTGTAATGTGACCGACGCGACACGTGTTAATAATTGTAATCAGTTGAAAGTAATGTAACAATGTCCCCAAATTCTTTTAATTTTGCTAAACGTTTTTTTATTCGTTTCATTCATTTTATTTCATTATTAATTTTTGTCGTAAACGTGGGAGAATATGTAATCATTTCTTACATAAAAATTACAGAAAAATTCAGCTGTCGGTATCGGTAGGAACTGCCTAATGTTTCTCCTAAATTAACGTGTACAACATAGATTCATTTGATCTTATAATAATGTATTATAATTAGGGCAATTTATCCAACCATTTGCTTACCTAATGTTGCCATACTGATTAGAAAATGTTATTAATCCGAGCTCTACATCTCTATACATCCGCTCAAACTTCTCAAACGTATTTATATGTTGATCTTTATGTTCATTCTAGTTTCGTTCCACTTACTTCATATTTTATAATAAGCTGAAATTATTACCCACTTATACCGCTGTTATTTAATTCTACTTTGTGCAGCTCCTTAGTTCTCATCTACAACTGCTTCTCCTTGTTAATGTCTTCCTGGAATAAATAGATTACTGGATCATTTTAATGGAGTCGCGAATAATTTCCGATTTGAGCGTGGAAGAATACATAATTAGGCTGCCGTTTTTGAAGAACTCGAGATATTATAAAACTCATCGTACAATATTATTTTATTACTTTTGATAATATTACTTTATTTCTAAAATACTCGAATATTTAACCAGAAAATTAATTATCAACGTGTTATAATTTCCTTATTATTATTTTGCACAGGCGTCCACAGTCTGTTAATTATACTACATTATTGAATCGATTGATTTATTCATCTTCATATTAGTATATAATAAAAATTAACTGGAATCGTCATTTTCGGGATTTTGCAATTATTAAGACAACATTTTGAAAACAATACTCTTAACATTAACGATAGGAGGTTCGTTAATTAAATGAACAAGAATTATATGAAATCCAATTGGAAACAAAATGAATTAAAATTAAAAGAAAAAATGGATTAAAATTAAAAATGAATTAAAATTAAAAATGTGAACATTTTTGGCAATACTTTTTAACCATTCGAACTATTTTTGCGCCTTCCTTTCGCTGACTACATTCGTATATCCGGTACGCGAATCTAAATCGGCATTTTCCCCTATCTAATAATTGCAACGAAAGCCATCGTCGACGGGATAAAACGAATCATCGTTCTGTTGCGAGGCGCAGCGACGTAGTTCGCGTGTGCTGAAAATGATTCCCTGGAATATCAGCAGAAAACACGGATAGTTCGATAAAAATCAGTGAAACGGATTGTACGTACGTACTGCCGACGTTGAACAGCGCCGCAGCCGACGATGAAAGCTCGTTTGGCAATTATTTCGTTTCCATCGCACAAAAAACGGCTCGCAGCCAGCGATCCCAGCGTCAGATAGCGTCCGGGTAATTTTGGCGAGCATTTGGGACTGATAATCGCTTACCCGAATGAAATCGAGGTTATAAATAAATAAGGTCTCGCTCCTCCTCGCGTCCCGTTCCCGGCCCCGGTCGTTTATTCGCGCTCCTCTCCTCGCAGAAAGTTTCTCTCGTCTCTCCTCTCGCCTCTCCCGTCTCGACCGCTGTCGACGACGCTACTGTCTCCTTATAATTGGTCGTCATCGTTAATGCGCCGTTAATATATTACGTTAACACGCGTTAAACGTTCTCCTTTGATGGAAGCCGGACGATCGATCACGAGCGCAAGCATATGAAACGACGGCGTCCATCATGGGGGTATTTCATGTTTAATACGGTAATGGTTTATAAACGATCCCGTGCACGCTGGTCGCCCGGTTCCCGATGCATCGCCGATTTATTTATTAACTTCCGTACACGATGCTGCTGCCAAGATTACCGTCGCCCGTACGTAGGAACACACTCGGAAGCCAACGTGCTCGGGTTTCGCATGTCTGCTTAAGAAAATGAAGCTTCAGAGTTTGGAACGTAATATGACAAGACTCTCTTGATGGAATCGGCTCGATCGGAACCTGTTTTAATCCGCGAATGCTGCCCGTGAACGGTCGATTTACGCTTTAATCATCGGATTACGTTTCGTTTGAATCGAGTGAGATATACATCTTACGATACAAATCGAAGGAAGTCGGGAGAAGAAGTCAAAACACACGGAATCGGCGAATGTTCATTCCGAGCAACGCGATTCAGCTTGAGCAATTAATTATTAACACTCGAACGGTAGACCTTTTTGTCAGAAAATGTAACAGATAACGTTTAGCATCGTTTATCGGATTACGTTTCGTTTGAATCGAGTGAGATATACATCTTACGATACAAATCGAAGGAAGTCGGGAGAAGAAGTCAAAACACACGGAATCGGCGAATGTTCATTCCGAGCAACGCGATTCAGCTTGAGCAATTAATTATTAACACTCGAACGGTAGACCTTTTTGTCAGAAAATGTAACAGATAATGCTTAGCATCATTTACTATTTTATTTATGGGCTTACCTTTCAGGTACTCTTTGTAGACTGTGTCAGTTCTTCCATAGATTTTGGCGAAACGTGCGAACAAAATTGATTGTCAGCAACCACATAGTCAAATAAAAATATCTATGCTCCGGGCCCCGTCATTCGACTGTTAAAACAGAGGATAGTCATACTGCTGTGGATTCTTCCAAAGAAAATTAGCGAATAATCATTTGTGCAAATTCATTTTCATGGACGATTTCATAAAAATGAGAAAAATTCAAACGTTATACTATCACGATATCTTTGCATCATTTAAGTTAATAAAATAATTGTGGTCAGCACTGTACACCGATGATTACACATCCGAACAAAAACTGTAGCTTTGGTCGCAAGCACGATTTTCGATGACAAAGGAACAGAATTCTCTAAATAAAATATCACTTTCGAGCAAAAATATCGTTTCAGTTTTTCTCTCTAGTTACAGCTAAATTAGGCGTGTGTGCCCGTCGGTGTGATCGTAGTCACGGTGGGCAAGAAGTCGATCGTATGCAGCAAGAAGAACGTGAATATCTCGACGGAACCGTTAGTGCGATATCTTTATTGGTCCGAAAGTTTCGTGCGTACTTCGAGAGGATTTGGCGACTCGGTTCCGGTTTTTCTGGAGCAGAAGTGATCGGTCACGGCGCGGCTCGAGATCCGAAAAAGTTCGAGAAACGTATGTTTTTACGTGACCACGACGGACGATCTAATTGAAGCCTGCCTTGCACGGTAAGTGAAATGAAATTAGGGTCCGAAGTTCGGCTGGCAAACGAGCGACGGTTTGTTCTCAATCATGTGGGGTTACCGCGTTTTACAGGGTTGAAAACACCGGTTCTTTCAGATTCGCAAGACTTTCGGAAACGCGTCTGACAGCCGATTTTTCGAAAGTGGTACTCAAAACTGTACTATAAACTGTAGAAAGAGGTGCTCAATTCTCACGGCAACAACAACACAGAATCTGCGATTGAATATTTTCTAGTTCGCGAGGTTTGTCGAATTTGCTTCAGAAGCAAATTTTCAAATTAACGAAATTCGAATGACCGTTATATGTACAGTGATTCGAATTAATATTCGGACACGATATTGTTAGAAGAATTATTGCTCCTTTTTATTGTTTACGATAGTATTATCGAATCAATTGTTTTCTCACATAATAAAGCACTTCTTAAAGTAATTAGAAACAGTTTTAAGTTTTGTCAGGACAATGATCCTAAACACAAGGCCGGTATTGTACAGGAATATTTATTACACAATTGTCCAAAAGTACTGCATCCTCCTCCTCAATCGCCTGATTTAAATCCAATCGAAAATTTATGGGATCAATTGGACCGCAAATTTCGTACAATTCCTACAAAGAAAACAGAGATAAAACAAGTTTGCTAGACGAATGGAAACGGATTTCGCCGGATTATTTAAATAAAATCATCTGTAACATGGCCAAGCGATTACATGAAACAAAAGGGTCAACCGACAAAATATTAATATTACGATAACATGATTAAAAAGATTTTCATTTTATATGAAATTAATGGAATTCATTCGCTGTCCGAATATTTTTGCGACGTTAGATTTTGTCACAATCTTGTTCATCGCTCATTATACAAAAGAACATGTGCAATAAATAAACAAAATTTATGTTTCTACTTGTTTTGTCCGTACGTTCGGTTAGTCGCCTAACGTACATGCGCGACCGAACTATTGTACGCTCGATTCGCGCTTCCTGCGGCAAATTAATGACGTGGAAGGGTCTCTAGTAGTCTTAGAGAACTTTATTTTTTGTGTTGTACTCTCTGCGAGCGCTGGTGGAAGAATGCTCTTCCAACGCTGGAAAGTCGTGGAAGAGCACCCGTGGATGGAGGTAGATTGTTTATTATTGGTCAAGGCACGAATCACCCCTTGGAGGGGGGTGTCTGCCTTGACCCTTGTTGGGGCCTGAGAGGGTTTCCCCAATGGTGGGACCTTTTTATGGCCCTTGTCTCTGGACGCAACACTACTTACTTCAAGAAGTGCTTTATTATATGAGAAAAATAATTGATTCAATAATACTATCGTAAACGATAAAAAGGAGCAATAATGCTTGTAACAATATCGTGTTCGAATATTAATGCGAGTCACTGTACACATTTTAAAAATGTTATGTTCCCGTTGATAGTTTTCAATGGTCGAAGAATGAACGTAAATACAGAATCCAAATATCGAGAATTTTGAAATCGACTGAAAAGTTGATCCACTAAATCAGAGTACACTTTTAAGTTGCTGATAGGAACGCGGCGTTCTGCCTTCGTTGCCTGCCATTATTACCGTCGCCAGCCGCATAGTCTACGACAATCGGGCAAACGTTCGAGCCGGGCAATCATAAATTCTGCGCCGTGCTATAATGGCCGGCGATTTGTCGTGTCTTTTATAATTATATTAGAATTTATATCCGCGGGTCGTGTGGGTATCTTGTCGGCTTCGCTGGGGAACGAGCCGTGTTGCTTGTCGCCGATACCTCACGTTTCCATGTTTAATACGCGGTTTTTACCGTTCAGCCGCGGACGAAACGCACTTTTATCCGCGCAAGCAAAAGTCACGAGCGTAATCGTCGTCGTGTCTATTCTTTCACCGCACTTGCCTCCGTCCGAGGTAGTGTTTACAAACGCATTGACGATGATGGAAGCGCGACGTTTACTAGTTCGCAACAATTAATGTTTGTAAACACTATCTCGGACGGAGGCAACCGCGGCAGAAGAATAGACGACAACTAAATGAACAAACTTTAGAGTCGATTTTCTCCGAAACGCGGAGCCCCGGATAAAAAAATGTTCTACCAAATTTGTTTCTTATTATTTCACGTAGAATCACGACTTACGGCTCACCCTGTATAATCGAAATATGGCTCGAGTGCTGTTCTGTTTTAATTGAAGTGTTTTATTTATATAACAAAAAATATTTTCGAAAAGAAAATATGTAGAAAGATATATAACAAAATATGTTCTAATTGCGATGATCTGTTCTATGTCATCATTTTCATTGAAATTACTAGCATGATACTATATTGATATTTCTCTTGTACGGATAAATATAAATAAATATAAATCGTTGATATGTAATTGCTAGAATTGTATTTTTTAGGCTTTTTTGGAGACTTTCTGTAAAAAAATATTAAAAGATCCTTTTATATCACTTTGTTGCACACATTTCTAGTAGTACTTCAAGCATAAGATATTTTTTCAAGAAAAAATATTCAATATTATTTAAACGAGCTCTTTTTAGAAGAGTCTTAGTTTCGAGTTTTAGTCTCTGTCTGACACGATTCCAGTTCAATTCCAATTCAATTCCAAAATTGAAAAATAAGAATTTCATGTTCAAAAGCACATGTTTAGATAACGTCGGTACTAAAATATGTAAAATATCTAAAATAATATGTAAAATATCTAAAATAATATATAAAATATATAAAATATATAAAATATATAAAATATATAAAATATATAAAATATATAAAATATATAAAATATACCAAATATCTCATTATTTAAAAGAATAGCGTTCCTCTCAAGTTCCAATTCGGTTTTCTCCTCACTTCCGACACGTAAAGAAGCTCGAGAAACATCACAATTTATTGAAAATTGTTACGATCCGGTGGCAAGTCTGCCGAGACTTGCGGCATCCCCTTCGGCCGGCGGACGGAAAAAGCGGCGGCAGCTGCCGAGGTTAGGAGAGAACGAGATCACGATCACCGCAAACTTCCCGTTAAACAGCGTCAAACAGTGTTTCAACGGCGCATTCCGTATTGCCCGATTTTTCCATTAGCTGGCGAGCCTACACGGTATTTGACGAACGAGAGGCTTGCGGCGCGGCGCGGCGCGGCACGGCATCGACGCGTTCAATATGAAATCGTTACGAAACAAGGCGCGACTTTGCTTTTTACATTCCACCCTCCCTCCCAGGACGGATTGACAGGCCGGTGACCCAGCTATTACCGCCGTGAAACAGATTATTCCACATTTTTATCGTTCGCTTCTCAATTAAGTCGGCGTCGCTGTCCACCCGATCGAATTCTGCCTTTCCATGCGCGCACGGTCGTCGTCCAGGAACGGCCAACGTCTCGCCCTCGTTTCCCTTCTCATTTATTACCATTATTGTTATTACGCCCATAATCTCCGAGTCAGTCAACGAGATATCGTCGCAGGGACAGCTCCGAGCAGACACGGTGTCGGTGGATAATGGTCTGTGACTTCTCGGGCTCTTTATAATGCAAATTGCGCGAATTCTATCTGCACCGTGTTCCCCACCCCACGGTTCGCGCCACCACCACCCACCCACCCACCACCCATCGCCGTCACCGCCACCGCTGGCTCCACCCGCGCAATCGTTCTTTCCTTCTCCGGCTCCGGCAACCCCTTTTCGCGGCGTCCTTGTCGGTTCTCTTTGACCCTACCACCATCTCCGTCGTCCGAGCAATACTTCCCTTCCCTTCTTTTCCCTCTCCGATTCCGTGAGCACGTACGATCGCACGATCTATCCACGGCGAAAAATAAAGAGTCGAGCGATCGTAACGAAAAAGAACTGCAAAGAAAAAACCACGTCATGCAACCGTCCGATCTCATATCTGCCGGTAGATAACATCGAATTCCTTGTGGCGGGGCTCACCCACTCTCGCGCGGTAGACCGCGGCCAGCCTGCTACGAACTACAAATAAATGCCGCCGTTAACGTTTATCCATAAATCAATTTAATCGTGCGTACAGAACGATAGCCATCGCCGTGCTTCAACGTAATCGTCCCAACGCAACGGGCCGCGTCGCTCGCCGCGTTGCTCAGCACGCGTACACACGTTATCGTTCGAACGTGCTCGATCGGTCGTACGGCGAACAATAATCCTTGCCGCGTGCAACTACCGCGTTCGGTCGCGAACTCTTCGCGCGATTAATTGGACCGGCTTATGGCCGGGATCGTAATCGACGCTGTGACAGGTAGATCGATTTTTATTCGTTTACGGTTATATCGAGCACGAGAGGTGTTTTAAATCGGTGAGAGGCGATTAAATGGAATTAAATGTACCAAGATATTATTTTCGGTCGATTAAAATGA